ATAGAGTATCTACAGCTTAGCATGGAGTTTTCTAAAGAAACAAAAATAGAGCAGTTGCACTAATCTAGTTTAAGTATATACAAAATCACACTATAAAAAAAAAAAAAAAATGAAAAATAAAAAAAAAAATAAAAATAAATAAAAAAAAATTATATCAGGTTATCTGCCAAATTTTCACCCTTAACTTCACCACTAACGTTTAACTTACTAACAGACCATTATCAATCATATGAACATATAACTCGTAAAGAATTTCATATTAGAATGCAAATATTCAAAGGACTTTGAACTCTTAACTCACCTGTACTCTTTCATAAGGTCATACTTTTCCCAAGGCTTTTCATGCAGTTTGGCACGTTTGTAAAAGCGTTCGGGAAGGCCTAAGTCTAAAACGCCTTGCAAGTCTTTCCTCTCCCATCTTTCATGCCAAGGTCCTGGTTTTAGTTGTACCTGAAAAGAGGAACATGTAAGCACAGAAAACATAATGTGTATATATATATATGTATCATATATATCTATCTAAATATATTGCTGATAAAGTCGAGGGAGGTGGAGTTACTACTGACAATCACTTTACCTTAATTGGATTGACAGGGACTGGGGCTCCTTCCAGCACCGGTTCCACATCCATGTCGAGTGGAAATGTAGAGTACTCAGGCAGAGCATCGCGCAGGTAGAGAAGTTCCTCATCCAAGCGTTTTTCTAGCCTGAGTACTTCAACGCTTTGAAGAAGGGGAGAATACATTTCATACAAAATTTCCACACCTGAAATTAGAATAAATAAAAATTTGTTAGAATTGTTCCATATACATTGCAAGTTCTGCAAAAACATGTGATCTATAATCATGCTTATAAAAAGGTAATTATCTAGGAAAATTCAGTGTAATTAAGAGCACTAAAGAAAAAAACATGAGTCTACCTGGTATGACACAAATTATCAAGAACTGTAACCTGGAAAATATAATGCTTTCCTTCAAAAAGATGGAGAGTGGTAAGGAAGAAGAGAAAGTAAGTTACAAGAAATTGGTTCTGTAAGTTGAAGGTCAAAAAAAGGAAGATAAAAAGAAATTGGCAAATCATTTTTTCCAACGTATCACCAACTTGGATGATCCTTCTTTGCTCTTCTCTCTTCCTCGAGATAATCACAATCTGTCATTAACCTCCATAAGAAATGGAAGACACTTCTAAATATCTCTTTCTTGTTGCATCCTAGAGACAGTGACACCTAGCCTACCCATCAGAGCAGAGGCTCTGAGCCTTTTCTGGCTGCGACCCAAAATCCTGTCATGATTGACCATCGGAACTCGTTTACCTTCATTAACACATTTATTGAAAATTCAATTTCTAAAATCCAATAAATTGTCTGTCTCTATGATTTACATAAGCTTAGATGTTGATGACTAGGTATTTTATACACCATACAAATACTTTGATAACATTTTGAATAGGTACATTGTGCACATATCCTAGGTGACCTACTGAAATGACTTGGCGACCCAGGGGTTAAGAACCACTGTATTAGTCTGTTGCCTCTATTTGACAGATGAGGCAATTCCCCAAAGATTCCCCATCAAGACTCTTGCCATGGCTAGAATCATCACACTAAGGAGTTTTCCAATTGAGGTCATCACTGGTTATGAAAATCAAGCTCTACCTCTGGTCGAACTAGATATCAGTTTATGAACAACTAATTCATTATCAAACTGACTCAATAGTGGAGAGTCACTTAAAAGTAGTAAAATAATATTAGCTATAATAATAATAATAATAATAGCACACTACATTTTCACAAACTGTTGGCCTCTGCATCACAATTTGCCATAATGCATTAAGAAAGGTAAAAGGCATAATGACAGAGATATCGACAAACCACCTTTTACAAACTCTGTGGTTCTTATTAAGACCGCTTTTCCAAAATCTGCACAACACTTCACCATGACAACGCAGAGACTACCTTAGTCTTCAAGGAGAAAGGCACTCACTTTCTTTAAAAGCTATAGGCCAAACAGACCATGCTTCCCTCAAGAAATTCAAACACTTTTCCGTATCTACTTGCTAATAAACTTTTTCCTGTTAACAAAATAAATAGCATGTTGACTGAAAATAACTTTAAATATAAAATAATGATTTTAAGCATACTAAACAGAAGCAAAAATGTACCAAAAAGTTATATTAGGGCTCTTTGTGTAAGTGGGGAAGAGAGGGAGATGTGAATGTGTGAGATACAGTATAGGAACAACATGGGTTGACTGGTCATGTATGGTTAGTAACCCATGAGAGGCACTGGGCACCAGTAAGCCTTGAGGCGCTGTCGTTTACCTGCGTCTCTGCATGTTCATTTTTATATTAAGGTAACTACATTTGATTACAGAAAGATCATATTCTATTCCCTATCATGGATTACTTTGAATAATCATAGCTTGTAGGTAAATAAAAACAGCAGCATGCATTTCATTTACCTACAGTTTGGAAAAAAAAAAAAAAAAAAAAAAAAAAAAAAAAAAAAAAAAATGTGATGAGTATAAACATCCACTGCATAATACAGTGGTACATGTCTGGCACCTATGGGAGGTGTATTTCACCAATGACAATAGTGCATTGTATACACTTACTCAAAAGCATCTTCCAAAATGCCCCAGTACACACAGATATACAGTGAAGTGTATATAATCAATTACTGTGTGGGAGAGTGAGGTCCTGTACAAAAGCAAAAAGACAAAAATCAAAGAAAGAGAAAGATGTAGAGAAAGATAGAGAGAAACACACAAAAAGATGAGAGGAAGACCAATAAAAACAGGAAGACAAAGATAGAAAGAGACCCAGATGTACCCTCACCTTGATGGTCAATGACATTCCTCAAGATGAACCATGCTCTGAGGCCAGATCCTCCTCTCTGGATGCAGATTCCCACGAACCTGTTAGTCTTGCCGGAAGCATTAAAATCTGCAACAGTCACAGCCATAATGGAGCCTGCAACATCAAAAAAATATTAGTAAATATTACATAACAGTTTCTGTTCTATCAGTACTTATAAAAAATAATAATGATAAATTACACCAGGTTCTGTTTTATTAGTACTTATAAAAAATAATAATAAATAAAAATGTGCATATCTTCCAACTATGTGTATAATCAACTTGTCCTATGATAGTTTTTATCTTGATTAATCATATCAAAGGTAACCATTTATAGTAAATCTGCTTGAACTCCACTTGAATAAAACAAAAAACACATTTTCATGTTTTTCTTTAGAAAATATCTGCAAAAAAAAATATGACATCCCATCAATGTTTAGAAGATCCCTGAAAGTAATTTACATATTCTCTAGCTGTTTCAAAAGTTAGGGTCTAGAGTGACCACTGCGCAAAAAGGGTATAATAGGCTTGCCCTGCACTTTGCCTCAGTAAGCCAGAAATAATAAACGATAACTGTACCTGCCTAAGTGTGGCTGGATTATAACTCTAGGTCATCTGATCATTGGGGGTTGGTTGTTAAAATTATAAAGCCGTGTTGAAAGTAGGAAATAACAAAAATAAGAAAAAATGTTATGTGTGAATTCATAAAAGACAGAAGATATGTAAACTTAGGTATTATATATGTGTCTGCTGATTCAAGTAGGGCTTAAAAAATCAACAAATCTTGAATTTAGACTGAATTACCAGTATTTTTTTTCCTGAGACTTGACCCACTTCCATGTATATCTAGGTAAAAAGAATTATTTATATCATCATTACCACCAATGACAATACTATTATCACATTATCTTCACATTACTGCCAGGGATGGCATGTATGTATATTTTCAGAATTAAATTTTCTGTACCAAAAAAAGTACATTCTCTTACACTCCTCATGCATGAATGGTTAACAAAAATCATATGAAATAGTCTATCATATAAAACAATAAGATGGCTATTCAATTCTATTCACAATCATCTAGATGTGTAAATAGTACAATGATGATGATATACCAGGAGGAAATTGAGATATGCAATTGTATGGCATGTGGAGGGGGAATGTGAGAAGCAGAAATATCTAGGGTTTGCCAGGATAAAATATGCCAAACAACACTAGAATGAATACCTCACACCCACTACACATCTTTCACACATAGAGACTTGAAAACACAACTCCGTCTTGCTCAGGCAGCCAAGGGCCTACAAGTGGAGTGAGGGTATGGGGGTTGATATCACAGGTGTGGCCGATGGAAACATGCCAAACAGTATGAGATATATTACAGGACACTACAAATGTCTCATTCATAATGAAAAGAGTTGCAGGAAAAATCCTGCTAGTTTTTGACAAGCCTTACCTACTAATGTTATCTTTTGAATAGGCAGACAGGTTAATAATGCAAATAGGAACAGATGCCAATTTTCTTTTGGAGCCAACTATGTGAAAAAAAAATTAATAGACTAAAATCACAATGGACATGACATATAAACTTACCATACCAGCATCAAGTGCTCAAGATCATAAGCAGTCTAAAATTACAAACTTATTTTGGTGAATGAACCACTATAAAAACCATCATAAAGCTTTCAAAACCACTTAGACTAATAAAATGTTTTTTCGGGGAGGCAGGATGAAAAAAATCACTTATTTCTAAGTAACAAAAACAGAACAAGATGTAGAAGACATCGAAAAAAAAGTATAAGCTAATTACAATGGAAAAAAGGAAAGTAATTAATTATATCTGAAGACAGGAATCTTTTAAGCTTTCACTAACTTACCAACATAAAACTCGGGAATCTCCATGATATTTCTGCGATTCAACATGTCCTTTCGTTCCAATTTTTCTCGGAGTCTGTTCCTAAACTCTGGCTTCGGGTCTGGTATGAATTCAGGGTACACCACCCTGAAATATATATGTACAAGTTTATATACTACAGGGATGGCATGATTTACAGTAAATGAAAAGATTTACATTATGCACTTTAAAATTAATAAAACTCTACTGAAAAATACATGTACCTATTCTTCCCACTTATATACATTACTTTTGCCAGAATAACACCAAACAAACTGCTATATAGACATTTTTATGAAAGTAACATAGCATAATTCTAAAGTCAATTAAAAAAAGAGAATTTGAGAATTTTATCATATATAGCCTAATTATTTATTGGTGTTTGGTCCTTATCAATATAGTGAGAGATATTTCAATTAGTTATCAAACCTCGGTGTACTGTGCAGAAATTCATTTACAAATGGCACTACTGTAATTGCAAATATTATCTGCATAACAATAAATGTTCAAAGGGATACTCTCACTCCTGTTTGATATAAAATGCTGGCTTAGTTTGTACTCAAATCTGATGCCAATAGCACAACTTTAATTCATAATTCATATGTACTTGAACTCAATAATTTATTTTGAATTGAAAGAGTTGCTTTTGCATATCAAAAATCCCCCAAAGGAGTTAGACTACCATTATTTATCAAATCACAAGCCAAATTAAACCAGATTAAAATCTAAGGGAAAAAAAAAAAAAATCTATGATCATATAAAGAAATACCATTCTTTTCAGCTCTAATATACTGTATGATGGCATTCACTTCATCTTAAATGTAATAAGCATCATACATATAATATTCATATACCATATCAACATCTAATAATCTCTTTAACATCCACTATACCTGAAGACACATTCATAATTTTTTATGCATATTCTAAATGTTTTATCTAAATATCAAATGCATAATCCTCCATTAAGCAGACTGACACGTCAACCACCAATATATAAAAGACTTCCCTACATATGAATTTTCCTGATAAAATAATTTACAAGAACTACTATTATAAGATGAATCACAGCCACTGCAAAATAGATATACACACACATAAATCTATCTTGGATGTCTTTTCTTACTCTGCTTAACCTTTTGTTTTCATTTCATCAAATGTCATTATTCTAGAGATTATTCCTGTACTTATGATTGGGATAAAATATACAGGTCTTTACCTGAAGTCATGAGGAACCTCCTTCTTTTTCTCACCGCCATGGTCTGTACTCGAAACATACGGAAAGACTTTGGAGACCGCTGTCCACGCTGATCGTCTAGAATTCAATTCCAAGCCTGCCAAAAAATGGATACATAAATAAATAAAAGGACAAATACAAAAAAAGCATTAGAAATACAAATAAGTATATAAACATTACAATAAATAGGGCAAGGATAAAAGGCTAATGAATTAATTATTCCAATTCATACTAAAATTCTGATCAGTAAATTCTAAAGAGAACAAATACCAATTAAACAAAATATGCATAAATTCAAACATAGGTTCCAATATTTGATATGTTCTTTACAAACACAATTTCAAATAAATGATAGTAGAATGGCAAGCAATAGGTTTAACAAACATATACAGCAAAGATATAAAATATTAAAATATGAGAAAAATTTATCACTCATTCTATACCATAACCAGTTCACCCTTACTTCTTGCAAGAACTATTTTATTGAGTAATAAGATGTAATTCTATGTTGAGAATACATACATAACAGATAGTAAGTTAGAAATTCATTTCATTTTCTCAGAAATGTTTAGCTTTAATGGAATGGAAACTAAATTTGGCTCGTATTATATAAAGGCTACATATACCAAGAACAACACCATGACTGCGGAGCAACTGCCACAGCCTTTACATTTCCAGCATTCCAGGAAAGGTAGGCAAACCTCTATGACATATATTCTGGCTAGATATATTGTAAGGTATTGCTCCAACCCAGGAACACAAGAGGCTACGTCCTGGACCTTCCAAGGCCTTTGTACCTTTAGCAACGAATGTATACATGTATTTAGCCAAACCAAACTTGGCCAGCTTCCTTGTTTGACAGCAAAAGAAAGCTGTGTGTGCTGGGTGACGTATTAAAAATTATCGAAACTTATTTTGAAGACGACGAAGCTAGTTTCAAACCATTATGTGAACACGGAGTGCTACCCTGTGAAGTGTTTTGCAAATTATGTTATACTTGTACTCTAAGACATGGTAGGTGGTTCAAAGCTAAGCAGCGGAAGCAGTGCTCTTTCTCCGTCAATGATTTCAAAGGGACATTTCTCCAAAGAGTTCATGTCCATCCATCTAAGATTGTGTGCTTCATAAATCACTGGCTAGAGAAAAAGTGGAACCACATTACCATTTTCGAAAATCTTAGGTGTTCAGAGAGAACCAGCATTGACTGGAAGAGTTTCTGCTCCGAAGTAACGGCTAACTAGCTCTCCAATCAAGACCCGATAGGAGATTGGTGAGTCTTGCTTTGGAAAGCAGAAATACGGGTATGGACAGGAGCTGAGTAAAAGTATTCCCTCATTCCCCTAGTACCTCCCCTGTCCCCTAACAGAAATAAGGAAACTCTGGTCGGGTATGGGGAGGAGTAAAGTATCCCTCATATCCCGTTCCCCCGCCCCTAACTCAGGACCTCCCCTGTCCCCTAACAGAAATAAGGAAACTCTGGTCCCACTCATAAAGAAATATGTTTTTCTGGGAAC